ACTAATTGATTTCTATAATACAGAAAATTTTAAAATTGATTTTTATGTTAACCTTGTATCTAGCAATTCAGTTACTGAATCTAATGATTTGTTGTTTTTTTATTGCCTATGATGCCAATTTTATTAATTAATTATAAAATCTTATGTTTTGATTTTTCTGCATTATTACATTTCATAGGTCATTTATTTAATTTTTAATAGAACTGATGATAGCAAGTATCTTGTCTCAGTCTTTTTTCTCAGAGAGATAGCTTATATTGTTTTATAATTAAATGAAGCTTTTACTATAAGTTTTGGGAGCTTTTTCCACATTAAGAAAGTTTCCTGGCCGGGCGCGGTGGCTCAAGCCTGTAATCCCAGCACTTTGGGAGGCCGAGGCGGGTGGATCACGAGGTCGAGAGATCGAGACCATCCTGGTCAACATGGTGAAACCCCGTCTCTACTAAAAATACAAAAAAAAAATTAGCTGGGCATGGTGGCGCGTGCCTGTAATCCCAGCTACTCAGGAGGCTGAGGCAGGAGAATTGCCTGAACCCAGGAGGCGGAGGTTGAGGTGAGTCGAGATCGCGCCATTGCACTCCAGCCTGGGTAACAAGAGCGAAACTCCGTCTCAAAAAAAAAAAAAAAAGAAAGTTTCCTTTCATTTCTGATTTGTTAAGAGTTTGAAATTATAATTGTGTGGTAAAATTCATCCAATATTTTTTTCTGCCTGTACATATATAACCATATAATTTTTTTTCTCCTTCACTCTTTTGACGTGGTAAATTACAATAATTGATTTTTTAACTATCCTTTTTATTTTATAATATGTTGAGATTTACAAAATTATGAAGATCGGCTAGGGAGTTCCTATAGGATAGAGAGTTCCTGTATACCCCTTTCCCCACATGTACACAATTTCCCATTATTATTTTTAGCATTGTTTTCCAGTCTCATCCTTACCTTTTAAAAATTTTATCTTTTGAAAAATTTTTATTTTTTTTGACAAGTTATAATTGTATATAATTATGGAGTATACAGTGATGTTATGATATATGTGTATAGTGTGGAGTGATTGAATCAAGCTAATTAACATAGCAACCACCTTAAATACTTGTCATTTATTCGTCCTATCTAACTGCAACTTTGCATTCTTTGATCAATAGCTCCCCATGTCTCCTTATCCCCGTACCCTCTGATAACCACCATTCTACTCTCTGATTCTATGAGTTTGATTATTTTAGAAGTCACATGAGATTTCTCATGTAAGGTTTTTATCTTTCTGTGCCTGGCCTATTTTATTTCACATAATGTCCTCTGGGTTTCTCCATGTTGTTTTATTGTTTTAAATGACCGAATTTGCTTTTTAAAAAGACTAAATAGTATTCCTTTGTATATATACCACATATTCTTTAACCATTCATCTGATGATGGATATTTAGGTTGGTTTCATCACTTGGCCATTGTGAATAATGCTAGAATGAACATAGGAGTGCAAATGTCTGTTTGACATACTGATTTCAAGTCCTTGGAATATATATCCAACAGTGAAATTGCTGGATCATGTGGTAATTCTATCATTAGTTTTTTTTTTTATCATACCATTTTCAATAATGGTTATGCTAATTTGCATTATCACCAACAGTGTACAAGCATTCCTTTCTCTCCACCTCACTATTATTAATGTCTTACATTAGGGCAATTGCTTTTCGATTGTTAAATGTCTCTGCATTTCTAGAATAAACCATGCTTGGTCAAGATATATATCCTTTATATATATATATATATATATATATATATATATATATATATATATATATTTAAACTTTCTTTATATATATATATTTTTGTATTTTCTTTATGTATGGTTATGTTTCATATGCTATTATTTTGTTTATGATTTTTGCATTTATGCTTAAAAGAGATTTGTTTGTGATTTTTTTGGTGATGTTTTCATTAAATTATAATTGTTTCATAAAAAGAGTTGGGAAATACTCCCTCTTTACTCCCTGAAAGAGTTTATAGGAAAAGCAGTGTTATTTCTGTCTTAAATATTTGGAAGAGTATAATAATGAGATCCTGGGGATCTGGAGTTGTTTTGAGAAAGTTTTTAACACTAGATTTCACCCTTTTAGTAAGAGTTTGGCTATTCAGATTTTTTATTTCGTCTTCTGTCAGTTTTTGATGAGATGCATTTCAAAAGAAATTTCTTCATTTCCCCAAATTTTCAATTTCATCTTTTAAAATTATTTATAATAGCCTGTTTTTATATTTTTAATGTATAAAGGACATTTTTTATTTCTAACATTGGTGACTTGTACTATGAAATATACCAATTTTAAGTGTATCATTTGCAGAAATCCGACAAATGTATGTATACATCTCCATAATCACCACTGCAATTAAGATATGGAACATTTTCCTTAACTCTAGATGTCTTCTTGTGTCTTTTTCTAGTCCATCTCTCCTCCATCCCTTAGGCCCTGGCAACCACTGATTCGCTTTCCATAAGTATATAGTAAGTATATATGGGATGTGTATTTTAAGTATTTTCTTTTTTTTTTTCTTTTCTTTTTTTTTTTTTTTTGAGATGGAGTTTCGCTCTTGTTACCCAGGCTGGAGTGCAATGGCACAATCTCGGCTCACCGCAACCTCCATCTCCTGGATTCAAGCAATTCTCCTGCCTCAGCCTCCTGAGTAGCTGGGATTACAGGCACGCGCCACCATGCCCAGCTAATTTTTTGTGTTTTTAGTAGAGACGGGGTTTCACCATGTTGACCAGGATGGTCTCGATCTCTCAACCTCGTGATCCACCCGCCTCGGCCTCCCAAAGTGCTGGGATTACAGGCTTGAGCCACGGCGCCCGGCCAAGTATTTTCATATAAATGGAATAACACAGGATGTGCTCCTTTTTATCTTGCTTCCTTTGATCATTATAGTGTTTTGAGAGTCGCTCATGATGCTACGTTTAGTAGTTCATTCCTTTCTTTCTTTCTTTCTTTCTTTTTTTTTTGATACTGTAGCGCAGTGGCATGATCTCTGCTCATTGCAATCTCTGCCTCCTGGGTTCAACTGATTTCCCTTGCCTCGGCCTCCCAAGTAGCTGGGACTACAGGCATGTGCCACCACACCGAGCTAATTTTTGTATTTTTAATAGAGACAGGGTTTCACCATGTTGGCCAGGATGGTCTCAATCACTTGACCTTATGATCCACCTGCCTTGGCCTCCCAGACTGCTGGGATTATAGGCATGAGCCATTGCACTCAGCCAGTTCATTCCTTTCTAATGGTAAATAATATTCCATTGTATAAATGTACTGAAATTTGTTTAATTAGCCCCCTATTATTAGATATTTGGGTTATTTCCATGTTTTGTCTACTGTAAATAAAGCTGTTCTCAATGTTTTTATATAGGTTGATGTGTATATATATTATTGCAAGAGCAATGGCTGAAATAACAATATTTGTGAAAATCAGTAATTCTCAATACAAATCAATTATTAAACAATTCAAAATCATTAAAATAAATTTGAGTAAGTATTCATAGAGACAAGATAATTTGGATAGATGGATTTCAGAAGATTATTAAAAATAATTGTTTCATGATTGAAAGATGCAGTAAAATACAAACAATATGGTTTTATTCTTTTAAATTTTATAGTTATGGGATGTAAAAATCATTAATGTTAACCTCATTATTATAAAACATACTGAACTTTTAAGTTTTTTTTTTTTTTTTTTTTTTTTTGAGACGGAGTTTCGCCCTTGTTACCCAGGCTGGAGTGCAATGGCGCGATCTCGGCTCACCGCAACCTCCGCCTCCTGGGGTCAGGCAATTCTCCTGCCTCAGCCTCCTGAGTAGCTGGGATTACAGGCACGTGCCACCATGCCCAGCTAATGTTTTGCACTTTAAGTAGAGACGGGGTTTCACCATGTTGACCAGGATGGCCTCGATCTCTTGACCTCGTGATCCACCCGCCTTGGCCTCCCAAAGTGCTGGGATTACAGGCTTGAGCCACCGCGCCCGGCGAACTTTTAAGTTTTAAACTAGATTTGGGCCACGACTTCATTCAAGAAAATGTCCCACTTGGAATTCTGCACAATTCATGAAAAAGAATTCAGAGCAGGATATGTTTGCTATCTAAAATATTCCAGAGGATTAGAAACCCTCAAATCATATATACTTTTAGATGTCATAAAAATATAAAAGCTATGAAGAAAATAAGAAAGTATTAGCAAAACAAATTTTTGTCTTGTACTTATCTCAGATAAATATCTATTTAATAAAGTAGATAAGTTATATAACAAAGTAGATAAGTAGATAAGTGAGTGCAGGAGTGCTCTGTCCCGCAGAGCAACAGACAGGAACCCGGGCAAGCCTATCGTGGATGAGAAAAGAAGGGACAAGAGGCGCGAAGAATGGCAGCAAGACAAAAGTTCTGATCAAGCTGCAAAGTTTATTTCAAAATGGGTTCCTTATATAGGGAGGGGAGAGGGTGGAGAGGGGGAAAGGGGAAGTAGTTCTGATAGGCTAGGAGACGAGTGTTTAGCTTATGATCAGCTACCCCATTGGTGCAGCCATGCATGTTCTGTACGTGATCAGGTCCTTTATTGGTGGCCCGCCACCACGCCCGGGGCATGCTTTTGGCGGGGAGGGCTGATGCAACTTGCTTTTGGCGGGGAGGGCTGATGCAACTTCTTGTTCCAATTGCATCAGCTTAGCCTGGGTTCCCAACATCTCCTCCCTTTTTCTTTAAAAAAAAGGAGGCGGACCTTAACCAGCTAGGGGAGGTAGAGGCTGTGCTCCTCCTGAGCCTTAATTTTTAGGCTTGCAGGTACCTTTTTGGGAGGAGAGGATTTTTCGAGTACCAACCTCTATGCAAGCCAGCTTACCTCTCAGGAGACTCGACAGTAGCCTTAGTAAGGCCTCTCCTTGCAGTGCTTTGCCTTGCACCTAGCGGTGTCCATTACCTTTGTAAAGCATAGTGTCGAGCGGTATGCTGCTCCCGTAGGAGGGGAACCGGCTACAGTCTGCCCTATTCTAGATCACGCGTTGCTAGTTGGTGATAGTGGATTTGTATGGGCTTTCCCAGTAAGGAATTAAGCTGATCCCTGATTAACGCTGTTACTCGTCTTAGGATCCAGGGGGCAAAAGAGAAGAACAGGATGATAGCGAATAAGGGTCCAAGGAAGGGGAGGAGGTAAGGGAGAAGTCCATTGAGGCCGGTGAGGAAGGGATTATCTGCAAGTGCCTTGCGTCTTCGTTCGAGGTCTTCTTGTAGATTTTTTATTTTATCTCGGACAATTCCTGACTTGTTGGCATAAAAGCAGCAACGTTCCTGTAGAGCCAAACAGATACCTCCCTGTTCTGCAGTGAGTAGGTCTAAGCCTCTTCTGTTTTGTAGGACTACTTCGGCTAGGGAATCTAGTTGGTCTTGTAAGTCATTGATGGTGCTAGACAAGGCTTGGATGTCGTTAATAAGTTGATGGGAAAGTTTTGTGTAAGATTGAACAGCTACCCCGAGTCCTGCTGTACCGGTGGTGACTGCTGCAGAGACACCCAATCCTACTAGCAGGGGGATCAGTGTAACGGCTCGTTTTTGCCGCCCTGCAATATAGTCAAAGGTAGGGATAGGGACAGGGTCATCACCAGAAATAATGTCTATATCTGGCAGGAGGGCGGCTAACACACATGACCCTGTCCAGTTTGCAGGCAGAGCAGTAAAGGCGAGGTTGTTGCCGCAAACAAAAGCTTGGCCTGGGCCAGGGCAAAGGGCCTCACTGTGGTTGGAACCACTGGAGCAGTTTACAAAGTTGGCAACGCCAACCGGAATATCAAAGCTGTTGTTTTGTGCACCTTTAAAGAAGCAAGGGTATACTTGGGAAGGCATGGGCTGGACTCTAAAGGGTAGGCTGGGGGTGCAATTATTTTGTGAGGCATTAAAACTAGATATATTGACAGGGAAGGCTAGGGGCATGGAGGTACCTTGATTTAAGCATAACCAGCAATTCTGGGCTAGGCTGGGGTTGGAGATATTGAGGGCCTGGTGGGTGGCTGACAAAATATCAAGCATTTGCGCATCAATGTCAGGTCCTCTTGGTTTTGAGCGAGCTAGGGGGTGGTAGGATAACTTAGGGAATTGGCTTTGAATAATAAGTTCTATTTGTTTTTGTACATAAAGCTCTCTCACAGCATCTTGGGGTCCGCCACCGTCGGAGACATGAATAGGGGCTTGCTGATTCCAACAAACAGATTTTCCAATCGTGCCATCGCATCCGGCCTGGAGGACCCCATGAGGTTGTAGGCCGCTGGTGACAGGATTGGTTTCTGAGGTGCTCTTTGTTCTTTGTAGAATGGCAGTAAAATAAGTATTATTGCCTTGAGTACACTGTGAGAAACTAGAATAGCAGGAGGAGTGCATCTGGGATTTAATGTTGTTTGTGCACTCGCTTGGGCACGGGCCTGGGCGGCCATTAATGACCGGTATACTAGGAGGCTTGCGCACACAAAGCCACTTAGGTGAAGATACTCCATTCCAATTGGTGTCATGGGTAAGATAGGCATTTTTGTCCCCACAATCTGTTACCTGAGTGTAAGTTGGGGTGGCGTAATTATTGGCCTGAGTCCCCCCTTTACAGTCACATGGCGCTCCAAAGAGGGCAGTGTAAATGTCTCCGGATGGCTTTCCAAGTCCTCCCTTTGTGACTGGGCAGAGGCGTGGGTGCAGTAGGAGGATGAGGATGCAGAGCATTTTTTCTGGAAGAAAAGAAAAGGAGCTCCTCAGGGCGAGTCTTTTGGCCCTGGGGCTGTATTTGGATTACTTGGCCTGTCACACAAGGGGGCTGTCTGATCATTGACGTGTCTAATTAGTCGCTCAGGGAGCCAGCGGGGGCCGTCCTCCTTTTGATCGTATATGCAGGCTGAGCCTCGCCCCCATATGAGGACAGGGTCAGGGCCCTTCCAAACACTGGTGAGAGGGTCACGCCACATAACCGTAGCATGCTGCTGAGAAGTTTGGGGATGCCATAGACGGTCAGCTGCTGAGCGACCTTGACTGTCAAGCTGTAGAAAATTTAGTTGAAATAGGGCATGACTAAGAAGGTTTCTGGGTTGTTGTATGGAAAACCCAAGGGGGGAGCGGGCTAAGCGATTTAGGGCATTTTTTAATGTTTGATGAGCTCGTTCAACTACTCCTTGACCCTGGGGGTTGTACGGTATACCAGTAACATGTTTGATTTGGAGTTTTTGGCAAAAGTCTTGGAAGTTTTTTCCAGTATATCCCGGGCCATTGTCTGTTTTAATGGTGTGTGGTTTTCCTATGGTAGCAAGACAGTGGATAACATGAGATATAACATTTTTTGATGCTTCACCTGTTTGGAGAGTGGCTAAGATGAAACCGCTGAAGGTGTCAACAGTAACATGAACAAATTTTTGTTTTCCAAAAGGGGTAAAATGAGTGACATCCATTTGCCAAATGGCATTGGGGACTAAACCACGAGGGTTTACCCCTAGATGGGGTACAGGGGTGGCTATGACACACTGTTTGCAGGCTTTTACAATATCTCTAGCCTGTTCTCTGGTGATTTTATAGAGTAAGCGAAGGGTGTGTGCGTTGAGGTGATGTAGGGTGTGAGCCTGGGTAGCGTCATGTATTGAGTCACTCAGAATGGGAAAAACCTGTGTGGCAGCATCGGCTAAGGCATTGCCTTTAGCTAGGGGTCCTGGAAGATTTAGATGGGCCCGAAGATGCCCGATAAAGAAAGGGTGTTGTCTGTTTAAAATTAGCTGTTGTAGTTTAGAAAATAAGGGGGTAGCATTGGTTGAGGATTTGATAAAGGGGACTGTCTCCAAAAGGGGGACTGATTGAGCAATATACGCACTGTCAGTGTACAGGTTAAACGGTTGGTGGGCTAGAACTGTGAACACCTGGAGAATAGCATAGAGTTCAACAAGTTGAGCTGACAGGTAGGGGGATTTTATTGAGATGGGTTGATTATTAATAACGTATGCAGCAATTCCGTTTGAGGATCCATCAGTGAAAACTAGCATGGCTTGAGGAATTGGGGCAGATTTTGTGATCTTGGGGAATATGAACTGGTGAAGCTTGGCAAATTGGATAACAGGGTCACTGGGGTAATGATTGTCTATGTCTCCTGTGAAGGAGGATAATGCAATGGCCCATTCGTCAGAGGTTTGCAGGAGCCAGGTTAATTGATCCTGGGTGTATGGAATGATTATAGAGTGGGGGTCCCTGCCAAACAGTTGGCGGCCAGTGTACCGACCCTTAATAATTAACATGGCGAGGAGCGAAGGGTAGGTGAGTAAGACTTTTGATGGGGAGGCAGGTAGATGGAGCCAAAGGAGGGGGCTTCCGTATTTAGTAGGGTCTGCACTGTTTGGTTGCCAAAACACCGCGGTGGGTGTATGGGGAGTTGGGAGCAAGAGGAGTACTAGGGGAAGGTTATACGAAATTTGTTGAACACTTTGATTTTGGATGGCCTCGTTGATGAGGGCTAGGGATTGCTTTGCTTCTGGGGTTAGTGCTCGAGCCGATAAAGGATTCGGATCGCCCTTTAGAATATTGTTAAGGGGAACAAGGGCACTGGTGGGCAATTTTAAATAGGGTCGAAGCCACTGAATGTCCCCGAGTAATTTTTGGAAATCGTTAAGGGTTTTTAAGTGATTAGTTTTTAAGCAGACTCGGGGAGTAAATACTTGCTGATGGTGTAACTCAAATCCTAAATAAGAAAATGGCTCAGACACTTGTACCTTGTTTGGAGCAATTTTTAGTCCATATGAGGTAAGACAGGCTATAATGTGAGCATAGCAGGCCTTGGCTGCCTCGGCGCTGTCACAAGCAAGAAGGATGTCATCCATATAATGGAGGATATAGGCCTCTGGCCACTGGGATCTTGCTGGGGCAATGGCGGCAGCAACAAATTTTTGGCACAGTGTGGGACTGTTGGCCATGCCCTGTGGCAGAACTTTCCACTGATAACGAGGCATAGGACTCTGGAAGTTGATTTGAGGGACGCTAAAAGCAAAGTAAGGTCTGTCTTCAGGGTGTAAGGGGATGGTAAAGAAACAATCCTTAAGGTCAATAACAATTTTGTGATAGTTTAGGGGAATGGCTACAGGAGAGGGAAGACCAGGCTGAAGGGCTCCCATGGGGACCATTACCTTATTAACGGCTCTTAGATCCTGTAAAAGGCGCCAGCTACCTGATTTTTTCTTGATGATAAATATAGGAGTGTTCCATGGAGAATTTGTAGGCTCAACATGTCCTGCTGCGAGCTGTTCCTGTACTAACGCAATGGCAGCGAGGGTTTTTTCATATGTAAGTGGCCACTGATCAACCCACACAGGGTCTGTAATTTTCCAGGAAATTTTATCAGCGTGGGGTACAGGAATGTCAATGGCCGCTACGGTAAATTTTGGTGGAATCCCAGGCCTGTTTTGTCTTTTTTGGGGGTAATAGTAATGGGCTGGGTGATTCCTTGATTATTTTTTCCTAACCCTTGGCCGGGGAGATACCCCTGGCTTAGCATTTGGGTCATGACAGTATCGTTGGGACTGCACATGACAAGTTTCATTTGAGAGAGGATGTCCCTTCCCCAGAGATTGACTGGCAGATTGGGGAGGACATAAGGGGTAATGTGACCATTGTTGCCTTCAGAGTCCTCCCACTTAAGCATTTGAGCACTTTGTTGGGGGTTGGTGGCCTGGCCAATACCGCGCAGGTGAGTAGCAACGGTTGTTAACGGCCAGTTTCTCGGCCAGTGAGTGTAAGATATAACGGTGGCATCGGCCCCTGTATCAAGAATGCCAGAAAAGGGCTTACCATTTAATTTTAGTCTCAGGGTAGGCCGCTGTTGAGAAATTTGTTGAACCCAGTAGACATCAGAAGACCCAGGGGCGCTAGCCCCGCGGGAGGGCTTATGGAAATTGGAGTTAATTTGTTGGAGGGGGAGAATGACTATTTGAGCTAGTCTGGTGCCCTTTGGGATGGTGACTAAATCTTTAGTTGTAGAGAGAATGATATGGATTTCTCCCTCAAAATCATTGTCTAATATGCCGGGCAGAACTTGGATCCCTTGGAGGGTAGAGCTGGCTCTGCCTAATATGAGGCCGAATGTCTGGGGTGGTAAGGGTCCATATATTCCAACTGGAAGTGTCAGAGGGCTATTTTGGGTGGTTAGTATTGTGTCGGTGGTGGTACAGAGGTCCAGTCCTGCACTGCCCGCTGTTGCTCGCCAGAGGTCTGCGACGTAGCGGCGTGGTTGATTACTGGGAGGGCAGGGGTTGGCTGGCGGTATTGGGGGGTGAACTGTGAAGCCCCGGAGTTCATCCCGGTAGTGGGGCCCTGGGGCTGGCCCCTGTTCAAGTTTCCCTGCCTAATAATGGGTTGTCCATTAATGTCTAATCGAGAACGGCATTCTGAAGCCCAGTGAAATCCTTTTTTGCAGCGGGGACATTTTGTTGTGGGACCTAAATTTTTTATAAGGCTGGCCTGTGGGGCATTAGGTTGAGTTGGCAGTTGGGCAGGCGGTTGTATTTTTTGGGGGCAGTTCCTTGAAAGATGGCCGGGTTGGTGACAATTATAGCAAAGGCGGGCCTGGGCTCCAGGCAGTTGTGCGGGGGCAAGATTTTGGAGGGCAGCTCCTATGGCTAGGCCAACAGCATGGGCAGAGCCAATACCAGAGCAGAGGCGAACATAGTCGCAAAGCTCCTTCTGCCTAAAAGGCCGAATTGCACTTTGGCAAGCGGGGTTAGCGTTTTCATAGGCTAGGTGCTTTACAAAGGAGCTCTCACTTTCCCCGGAGCCAAAAAGGCGATCTGCCGCCTCCTGGAGGCGGCTTACAAAATCACTGTATGACTCGTCTGGGCCTTGTCTGATTTTTGCAAGGGAAGTAGTGGCCGCTCCTTTTTGGGGGAGTCGCTTCCAGGCTTTTAGGCCTGCGGACTGAATCTGGGTTAAAAGCCCCGGGGGGAATTGGGCCTGTTTGTTATTGCTTTGGTAAGGGCTGGTGCCTAGGAATTTTTTAAGGGTCCATCCTTTGGAGGAGGCTTTGCGCGCCTTACGCTCTGCAAAGTGTTTTGCGGTTTCCTCATACTCAGACTTCCAAAGGATGAAATCACCTCCGCTTAGCGCAGCACGGGACAGGAAAAACCAATCGCTAGGAGTAAGCCATCTTTCACTGAGATTTTCTACTAGGGCCACGGTAAATGGGGCGGTAGGACCATAATTAGCAACAGCAGTTTTAATTTTTTCTATTGTCTTTAAATTTAGCCGCTTATAGGTATGGGTGTATGTAGGCTCGGTGGGCTCTGAGCTTTCATCCTCCTCATCCTCTGAGTCAGATCCTCCGGAGTCTGCTTCCTCCTCCTCAGGGATGGTGTGCGTGTCAGGGTGAGGAGACGCTCGGCTCATGGTATTGGAGCTGACCTGTCCCTGACTTCTGGTAACGGGAAAAGCCATAACTCCCGCGGGAGGTAGAAGGGCCAAATCGGACAATTCTGAAGCTAGGGTTTTAATTTCTCTGAGGATGACTACAGCTTCTCGAATGGAGGTTTTATTGGATAAATTTTGAGCTGTGGAGGGGGCGGAAGCATCTGGTGTGGGGGCATGCAAGACCGGAGCCGCGACTGCCACTGGGGGCACTGCTGTAGGGACATAGGGCGGCGGCCGGAAAGGTGGCAATGCCGGGGTGTTAGTTAGTTGGGGCCAATCAGGGTTGTTATATTGGGCAGCTGCCTTTTCCAGATCTGCTTGATCGGCGGGATCTAGTTGATCATCCTGACTACCCGAGTTATGCAAGGTTTTAGAATTAGCAAGCAAGGGCAAATGTTGGGGCGGAGTATGCGCCCGAGAATGAGGACTTTGAATGGGGGGGTCCGTAAGGGTTGCAAGGTTGGGGTACAGTGAAGACTGCCCTGTATCATCTGAACCAATGTCAATTGCAACCGAGGGGCAGGTAGAAGGGGCCCTAGAGGGAGGGCGAGAGGAGGCCTTTTCAGAGGTGGTAATTGTTGCAGGGGCCTGTCTAGATGGAGGTCGGGGGTGGCTAATAAGAATTTTCTGACCCTCCTTGCAGAGGCGTTGAATGTCAGGGGAGTCGCCCTGATTAGTAAGGACGTCCCTTATTAAATTATAATAATTAAAAGTGGTGATCGGAATAGCCTCAGGACCAAAAACACGGTAATAGTCGTTCAGACAATCACCAACACGTCCCCAAACACGGGAGTCAATAGACCCTTCCTGGGGGAACCATGGACATGTTTTAAAAATGAAACTAAAAAAGGAGATAAGGTCTTTCTTGCGAACCCGAATTCTGCGCACCTTGAGAGATTCCTTTAACTGACTTATAAAGAGATCATTTTCACTATGTGAAGATGCTTGTCCCATGATTGGGTCTTACCTGAGTAATGCCGCCGTCGAAACGAGGGACGAACTCCAGGAGTCGGCTCGCGGTCGGGCGGTCCGCGGTGCTCCGTGCGGGGAACCGGTTAATGGGGACGGCGGTCCACGGAGGCCGGCATCGAGCCCCACGTCTGGGCGCCACTTGCTCTGTCCCGCAGAGCAACAGACAGGAACCCGGGCAAGCCTATCGTGGATGAGAAAAGAAGGGACAAGAGGCGCGAAGAATGGCAGCAAGACAAAAGTTCTGATCAAGCTGCAAAGTTTATTTCAAAATGGGTTCCTTATATAGGGAGGGAAGAGGGTGGAGAGGGGGAAAGGGGAAGTAGTTCTGATAGGCTAGGAGACGAGTGTTTAGCTTATGATCAGCTACCCCATTGGTGCAGCCATGCATGTTCTGTACGTGATCAGGTCCTTTATTGGTGGCCCGCCACCACGCCCGGGGCATGCTTTTGGCGGGGAGGGCTGATGCAACTTGCTTTTGGCGGGGAGGGCTGATGCAACTTCTTGTTCCAATTGCATCAGCTTAGCCTGGGTTCCCAACACAGGAGCTATTAGCAACTGGCAGTATTTGAAAATCCTGGTTGTTCCCTTTATATTACACTTTCAAATTTTTACTACCCTTTCAATAGCAATATGCAGATATTATTTGATAGTAAAAGCTCATTTTATGATTTGATGTTCAGCAAAACATCAATTTTATCACACAATATTTTGGCATTGATGCAAAGTATGTATATATACATATACAAAGTATATACAAACACATAAAAAGTATATATGTACATACAAAGTATATATATGTATAAAGTATACACTATATATGCTTTGAAAGTAGATATACGCCGGGCGCGGTGGCTCAAGCCTGTAATCCCAGCACTTTGGGAGGCTGAGGCGGGTGAATCACGAGGTCAAGAGATCGAGACCATCCTGGTCAACAAGGTGAAACCCCGTCTCTACTAAAAATACAAAAAATTAGCTGGGCATGGTGGCGCGTGCCTGTAATCCCAGCTACTCAGGAGGCTGAGGCAGGAGAATTGCCTGAACCCAGAAGGTGGAGGTTGCGGTGAGCCGAGACCGCGCCATTGCACTCCAGCCTGGGTAACAAGAGCAAAACTCTGTCCCCAAAAAAAAAAAAAAAAAAAAAAAAAAAAAGTAAATATATATACACACACATAGTTTATATATACTATATATACTTTATGTAGTATATATGTATATATACTTTATACTATTTTGTGTATATATAGTATATACATATACTATATATTTGAAATATATATATAAACTATGTATTTGAAGTATATAGTATACCATATATACTTTGAAAACATATGTAGTATATACTTTATACAAAGCACATACGTATAAATATACATTCAAAGTATAATACACACACACACACACACACACACACACACACACAAACTTTCAAAGTATGTTTGAAATGGAGATGGAGGTTACAGGATATGGAGGTTAGAGTGAGCCAAGACGGTGCCACTGCACTCCAGCCTAGGTGACAGAGTGAGACTCCTCAAAATAAATAAATAGTAAAATAAAATAACCCAGGGCTTGTTTTATGTGTGTGTATATGTGTGTGTGTATATATATGTTTGTGTGTGTGTATACACTTTGAATGTGTGTGTGTGTGTGTATGTGTATATATAGATATAAAATACCCACATTTTAATATACTGAAAACAACTCTAATATTATGGGAACATGAAGGAGTAAAAAGTTTTTAAAATGTTTTTGTGATAAAGTTTCTTTTAATGTCATCATAGTCTTGCTACCACTTTATGGCCCATGATATCAACCAAATTCTCAGTAGACTCTGCCTACCACATTTCCCCTGAATGCTAACCCTTGTCTTGCTAAAAATTTATGGGAATAGGATGGTCAGTTTACTTTGGTTTGAGCCTAAATAAACTCTTTAAAGAATCCCTTTAAAGAAACCCATTAAAATCCTCCCACCCACCCTGAAGTGTTCTGCCAAGACTAACTCAAAGCCACAACAGATTTAGGGTTGTTTCCAAATTGGAAGCTATAAGAACTGTGTGGGCCTTTAACTCAGCAAAAATCCATCTTTAACAGAAATGCAGAATATTAAACGTAAGAACACAAAGTAATTTTCCAGACTCGAGAGAATTTGGGGCAAAACCATGAAACTCTGCAAGGGAATTCCCCAAATGAAAGTTTTTTGTTTTAAGTGAAATGAAAGAATCGTAGTGATCTCTGGAGAAGGGTTGGTCTTGGACAGGACAGAAATCCAACTCTGTCACACAGTCATTTTGTGATCTGAGCCTAGCTACATAGTCTCTTCATGTTTACTCTGTTTCTTAATAAAGTAAGCAAGTATGATGATGACTAATCATTTATCCATTAGTTATCTGTTTACATTAGGAAAAAATTTATTGCTTTACTGTTAAAGTTAACAATAATAATAATGGTTCCCACTAGAAGCACTTACTCTGAGTTATGTACTGTGAAAAAACTTTATAGATGCTTCAATAAATATTAAATCTTATTACTATTATCCCTGAGCTCTCATTAATCACTGATTTATTAGCTCCATTTTCATAAGAGGCAATTCAGGCTTAGATGACTTAAGTAGTGTTGTCTAGTTAATACAACTTTTAAAGTAGCAGACCAAATTTGTCTACTTTAAAATTCAAAGCTCTTGACCAGGCATGGTGGCTCGCACCTATAATCCTAGCACTTTGGGAGGCCAAGGTGGGCAGATCACCTGAGGTCAGGAGTTTGAGACCTGCCTGGCCATGGTGAAACCCTGTCTCTACTAAAAATATAAAAATTAGCCAGGCGTGGTGGTGGCCTGTAATCCAAGCTACTCAGGAGGCTGAGGCAGGAGAATTGCTGGAACCCAGGAGATGGAGGTTACAGTGAGCCAAGATAGTGCCACTGCACTCCAGCCTAGGTGACAGAGCGGGACTCCTCAAAACAAATAATAATAAAATAAAATAACCCAGGGCTTGTTTTAACCATATATGGTAAAGACACGCAGAGCTAAAAATGGCTATCATGAAGGAAGGAGTTTATTTTCAGAGATCCCTGGAAACAGAAGGCATGGCCACTATGTAGGGCCACATGGGCAAGCACTGGAGTCTGTCAGGAGGCAGAAGAAATGGGGACAACTTCAGCAAGAACCTTTATTGCGCTTTCCTCTGGAAAGGCAGGGCAAAGTAAACAGGTTTGAGATCGGCTAGTTTGAATAGTGTCTCCAGTTGCCTGGTACCTGGACCTGCAGTGATTAGGGTAGGGGGATAGTATGACAGCCTGATAAAGCACATGGCTGGGGACATGGGCTCTGGATTGATTGGCTTGCATATAAAAGGTATATTCCTGGGGAATGAGTTGTTTTCTATCTCTAGGAATTAACTGATCCTAGGAGGGACAGACTTTTTAAGGTCAGCAAGGTCCTAAGATAGCGAAGCATCAGAAAATACAGAAAATAAAAAACCTAATTAGTCCAAGGGGAAATACAGAAAATAAAAAAATACAGAAAATAAAAAACCTAATTAGTACAAGCACCTTCCCCTGATTAGTACAAGGGGAAGCACCTGTGCCGTCACTATAAACCTGGCCAAATGCTTAAATTCATACATTAGATGTACTTGTTGCATGTGGGTGTGTGCTGGGGGTGGGTGTTGGTGGTTTCTTATGTACTAGCTTTATTCTGATAAATACTTAGCCAGAGTTCCTCTCAGTCCTGGAGCATTTAAATAATATTCCACCACTTGTTTAGGAATTAAAAGGCACTCTTTAGCAGCTTTAAATTCTTAATAGACTAACTATTACAAAGGCATTTTTAATTTGGAGTAAGAAAAAGTCGAATTCTATGGCAACATCTGGCATTCAAGTCCATGTGTTCTGCAATTCTGTGTGGCCAAAGAGAAGTAATAATTGGTTTTCTTCCTTGGAACACCAAGCACTCAAATATTGTGAGTGGAGACTTGAGAGCATTTATAAGAACTGTATCTCAGCTGTTGCCACTACAGGCGTGAAAGCAGAAGGTGAGCTAAGATCTCACTGGTTCCTGATAAAAAGGAGAATTTTCCACACAGAACTATTGCTGTCTAGTGAGCCTCAGAGAAAAGTGGATCTGGATAGAGGCCCCAGCTATAGGGTAAAAGTGATCAGGATACAGACAAAAGAGGAGGGAGGGGTCAGAGAATGGAACGCCGAGAAGCAAGGCTCTTCGAGCACAGCATTATCCCATTTTTCAAATGGCCTCATCTGATTAGAATGGTGGTTTTCCTTTTACCTCCCCCAACCCTTCTGACAGATTTTGTGCTTCATGGAAGTCTGGCTTTTAGAACTACAGAAACATGTAGATGACTGAAAGGCTTCAACATGAAGGTGTGGCAGAGGTGTGGCATGACTTGTTTTGGCATTTGTATAAATACAGTTAACCTGTGTGTTTTACAAAGACTCTCTTGACAGATGGGAGGGCTAATTGGTGTGGCCACAGGACAAGATGTGCCCATTGTGGATGTGTATCAGTAATATGACTTTGGCCAAGAATCTTAGGAATGCTTGCTTGAAATCATTTTTAAAAGATTTTGAGCCTGAACCCAGGAGGCGGAGGTTGCAGTGAGCGGAGATCACGCTATTGCACTCCAGCCTGGGTAATAAGAGCGAAACTCCGTCTCAAAAAAAAAAAAAAAAAAGATTTTGAGCCATAGAATTGTGATAGTCACCTCATATCTCTAAGCCTTGGTTTGCTCATCAGCAAAATAAGGAAGTTGCTGGATGTTACTGGGACCTTAAAAATTCTATGGTTCTAAATTTCTGTGACAGAAAATTCTATAGTTCTGTGTTCCACTGTAGTCTCGGCTGCAATGGATCACACACTGTTTTGTAGTCATAAGATCTGGGTCAGAACATACTTTCTGCTTGTTTGCTGCATCACTGTATGGCCACAGTTCTTAGCTAGAGGTTACTCTGTACCCCAGCAGAGGATATCTGGCAAAGTGTGGAGGCATTTTTGGTGGTTACAACTGGCAGGGACTGAGGAGAAGGCACACTAGTGGGTAGAATACACAGATGCCCCTAAACTCGCCACAATGCACAGGACAGAGCCCACAACAAAGAATTATCCAGAACAATAATGCCTAAATTAGGAAAGCCTAATTTAGATAAATCACCTCAATCTTTATGATCCTTGGCTTCTGTATTAAATACTTGCGTTTCTGAGGATAGTAAATAAGATAGTTATGAAAGCACACAGTAATGAGAAAGCATGGTGACATTTGTGGT